GTGCTGTCACTATAATATTTGGCCCTTAAGGACATCGTGTCCTTGACTATTGGAATCCTCTTCCTCCTGGAGCTTGTTTGTGAATATAGGGCTCTCAGGTCACTTACTATCTAAGAATCCACACAGTGCTTGCCTCTCTCACTAAAAGGCTCAAGTTCTCTGGAAGGGAAAACTACAGACATGTACTTCCTGTGCCAGCAATGCACTAGATGCTTTTACACAGTTGATGTAACACGTGTATGAAATGAGTTATGTACATCATTTCTTAATATCTCAGGGCACTGGAATCAGAGTTTAAGTGACTCATTTCACAATATACTGCATAGCAAATCATTTCTGCAATTCAGGTTTGTCTGGTTCTAAATCTTTTGAAAGATAATCTACCTTTGCCTAAACGTTTCCTGCTAATCCTCTCTCCCAGTTCATGAGAATAAAAACAAAACAAAACCAAAAATAAGTTTTACTATTGTTTTCTATTCTCATTTTTGTCTTAGAAAAAGTTCATCGTATATCACCCTTTCTCTGATTGCACCGATTTAAAAAGTTAACTCCTGACTCCTGAGAGAAGCAATAAAATTCAACATATTTTTCTATAAATGATAGTGTCCCCTTTCAGTGAAATGATGTATGTCAATAAAATGATGACATGATCTTGGCATCATATAGTAAATTATATCTCCAAAATTGAATCAATTGAGATGTAGGATCATTTAACTACAAAATTGATTAAAAGTAAAACCAAAATTAGCTAAAATTGTGTAGATAGAATGCTACTAGGTCTCCAACTCTAGTTTAAAGATCAAAAACCTAGGGGTCTGCAGATAGTGTAATAGTTAAGGTGCTGAATTCCCATATGGCAGATCATGGTTTGAGTCCTGGACTCAGCGACTTGAAAAATCACATGGAGTGTGCGTGTGGATGCCCAAAATCCCATAGGAGAATGGAGGAGAAGGGATTGTAGCTTGGCCACCTCTCTGGGGATTTCCAACTTTCCTTCTCACTATCTGTCTCTGGTGAGCACACACACTCTATGACAAAAGCAAACACATCAAATTCTTTTTTATCCATCTATGTATGTCTAGAAACTATCACATAATGATTTTTAAAATTAATTAATGATTAGTTTATATATATATAATATGCACATATATATATTTATATATATATATAATATATATATTTTGCAGTTAAAAACAAAGAGTTTATTACATATATAGTAACTTAAATGTTTCCAGGTGTCGTCCTAGTTTGTACAACAGGATAAAGCATTCTATTGTCATCCAAGGGAAGACCAGTCTTTTACCCCCCCACACTTAATTATTATTACAAAGATAAAAAGTTCTTTTAAAGTGGCCACTAGATTTAGTTGAAGCCTTATGAAGTCTAAGGCCTGTTCTAGTCTGTTCTATTTTTTTTATTATCATCATAATCTTCTTTATATTACATTGGATTACATATAACTGTACAGTGTATTACATTGCTTTTTCAAAAGGGAATGCCATGCATGTCAGTCAATACAGAGACATTAATCTCCCCGCTTCGACATTCAATATCTTTTCTATGTTTTGACTTTGGCAGCAGCGAAGTAGGCAGGGACCCTAAAAACATAGGTTATGGGCCCAAGATGGAGTTACAAAATGGCTAAGTTTTGGGATGGAGGCAGAGATGGCTCAATGATTGACCTAGGCAGCATGAGCCAGACCTAAATCAAAGGCTTTTTGCAGACCCTACCACATTCCAGGAAGAAGATAAGATAATGGTTTTCATGGCCCAAAACTTCTAGACAAAGACTCTCCTGACCTTGGTACCCACTTCAAAATTAGGAAAATAATAGGACCCATCCAGCATGTGTCCCTCTCTACAAGAGGGGAATGCATGCCCAAGCCCCACCTAGAAACAAGTCTGGACAAAGCCCTTCCTAACCCAATTAAAAACCTCTTGTCAGGACCAGTATTTAGTATAATGGCTATGTTGCTGGGCTCCCATGTAGTCATCAACGGTTCGAGTCCCGGACCCAGCAGCTTCAACTCACGCCAGGCACGTGTGCGTGCGTGCCCAAGATTCCGAGAGGAGAATGGAGAAGAAGGGATTGCGGCTGGCCATCCCCCCGGGGGTGAGTTCTCACTTTCTGTCTCTCTGTCTGTCTTTCTGGCAAGTGCACATGCCCTATAGCAAAGACCTCTACAAAAAAAAAAAAAAAAAAAAAAAAAAAAAAAAAAAAAAAAAAAAAAAAAAATTTTTTCTCAAATTTTTTTT